TGAAGAAATTTTCGAAATTGGCACCAGAAGGTAGCACCCAGAGACAAGTAGAAAATCAGAAATCTGATTTTCTAAGGAGGATACCGGGAGATGTCAAGAAGGGGAAGGATAAAAGCGAGAAGAAGAAAAAGAAGAAAGGAGCTACCAGTGATTCTAAGCACGAAAGTGAGTACAAAAAGGGCTTGAGGCCTGTCTTATGGCTGACACCAGATTTTCCATTGAAGACAGATGAACTTCTGCCTTTACTCGACATATTAGCCAACAAAGTCAAGGCAGTCAGGAGGCTCAGGGAACTTTTGACTACTAAACTACCCCCTGGTACCTTTCCTGTCAAGGTAATTTCAGATATTCTGTGTGTTTTTATATTCAATATGGTTCACTTAGCAAGTTTTCTGCTGTCATGCTAATATTAAACACTTCTTTTAGTAGTTTTGGCTTTGTTGTTGATTCAACTTCTTATTGATTTTCGCCTTTGGCTTCTTGCCTTTAATTTTTTTTTTTAAAAAATATATTGAGGGTCTGCCATTGAAGAACTCTTCTGAAATGTGCATGTGTTGCCAACAATAAGACTTACAAATTGTTTGGTTTGCTGAATAGGTTTATAATAGGAGTATTTTTTTCTTTTTTTGAGATAAGTCTACAGTAGGAGTATTATATAATGACTATTACGTTATATACCTCTATAACCACGTTTGTTCGTGGAATCACATTTCCAATAGAATTATGATCATAGCAAATGCTACAATCTTGATTTATTTCTAGGGATCATGAATCAAAATTATAGGTTTTTTGTAATACTTTGTTTTAAAAAAATTTTCGAGTTAATTATACTCTCAATTTGCATTACTTTGTATATCATACCATCACCTTAACATATTAATTAACACAAAAACCTAGAAATATATAAGTATGCACAGTACAACTTTTAAATATGTATGATGGTTTTGATATACTTTTTCATAAATTTTATTAATCAAACATGCAAAAATCTAAATTAAATGTTAAATTTATATTTTGGAAATTTAAAATATCTTTTTTTAAATCCAAATTTTAGAAATGTATTAACTATTATATAACATTGAAGAAATTTAATTATCAATAGGAGTTTTGTGTTATTTTAATTCTTTGTTAATCATTTTAATTATTAATTACCATGCACATGTATTATTTAATAATTATTTTACACTACTATGTCGCAAAATGCATTAAAATATAATTTACGTTAAATGCAATAAATGAGTCTTTTACTCATTTACAGTTAATTATCAGGTTTACTCCAACTTCATTTATAACTGAACCAAACATAGCGAATTGGATTGTAATGAGTTATTCTAGTTGTGAACCAAAAAACATAAGGTAATTGCAAATCCATTATGGGCTTATTAAATTCCCACCGGATAGCTATTGAATTTGTAACCTTGTTCCACTTAGGGGACCAAACAACCCATTAAGATTTTTTATTGAGTGGTGCTGAACTTTTCTTTTTCTTGTTTATCTATGAATAGAAAAGATCTGTCCGAGGTTAGGAGTTGCAAACTTGAAAAGTTTGTTGCCCATATTACTCTGCTGAACAGACATCTTTTCAAACGGATACTGTAGGCTTGCTATTTATGGTTTGAGTCTACAAACTGAACCGTAATTTCATGCTAAAAGATGTTATAATGTAAATATAGTCTTATCCTAGGAAATTAAGAAAAAACACATACACAGTAATGTTCTGCTATTTTGCACAATGCATTGTGCTATATCATCCTTGCTTTTCAGAATATTCGTTAATGGCATCTTTGCATATTTTCTTGTGATCTATCATATTTATTTTGATCCTCATCTTGAGCACAGCTTTGGTTGTAATAGTTTTTATCAAGTTGGTTGAAGCATGACTTTTGAGGCATCTATGTGGATAGTTAAAAAGTGAGTCTGTGTAGAAATTGTTCTTCACTGGAGATTCTCCAGGTGTTAGTTACCTGTTACTCAGAAGACTTAGGATGAGATTATTGAAAACCTATATCATACTTTCATCGGTAAAGGTCATTTTCAGAGTAGATGTGCGAACGAATCTTGATTTTTGTTAAACCTGAAATGTCCAAAGCTGTCCTAGGTCATCTCGCATTAGCATTGATGTTTATCATCCTGACTTCTTCCTTTATGTAAAGACTATGCATTGAAGGCTCTGCCTTAGTGATAAGGTGCTTAGACAGTGATTCATATGGTTGGCACCTAATGTTTCTTTCCAGTTGCTAAAAAGAAGCTGAGTTTTCTATATGCTTCTCAAATCACAAAATTCGTAAGAGAAATGGTTGCCCTTTTCATTAACTGATGGATAGGGATGGTGTACCGCAGGAATCACCAAATCATGAAATATCTAATCCAGACCAAGTAGCTAGGATTCTGGGTTCAAATGACATGTTGTAATTTTTCTATTCTAGAGGGTCAAGCTTAGCCTTATAAAAATGTATGGCATGCATTTAACATTTATGGTGGTTTGACTGATGTTGATCTCATATCAAATCTACCACATACTGGCTTAAAGACCATGAGGATGTTTAGGGTTGTTGATAGAAGTGCGCCAAAGTACTAGGTGCGTACAACTATCACACAACACCTTTGCATTGATTTTAAAAATAAGGACTTACAACATTTTGTGTCCAGATGAGATGGCTTATTTCAAAAATAAATATTTTCCATATTTTGTTAAAAGAAAATATTCAAGCAAATAGGTAATTACATATGTTGAGAATATATGCATTTTAACTCACTGCACCAAAAGTTAGAGAAGGGAGGTGCTAAGCTTTTCTTTCTTGTTTTGATTTGCTTATAGCATCTAATAAGCAACCTACTTAGATAACAAAATAGGTAAATTGAGTGGGGTGCAAGTCAAACGCCCTCTATACTTGTTATCATGCAAGTCTAGATAGTGTTTGCAAACAAATTTCTTCCTTAAGACTTATCAGTTAAGGGTTAGGTCCGAAATTTACTATGTGCTTAACTTTTCTTTCTTGGTTTGACTTACTTATAGCATCTAATAAGCGACCTACTTGGATAACAAAATAGGTAAATTGAGTGGGGTGCTTGTACTCTCCTTTTAAGCTGAGTCAAACACGTCTATACTTGTTATGATGTAAGTCCAGATAGCATTTGCAAACAAATTTATTTTCTAAGAACTTTCCAGTTACAGTTAGATCTAAATTTACTATTTAGCATCTAATATATTCTTTTTGGGGATCTATGGTCATGATTGTTTGTAAAGAGGCCTCTAGTAAGAGACAGTCAGCTTTTCTTGCGCACTTTTATGGTCTCTGGTGCAGAATGATGAAGTGCCAGTGCTTGTTTCGGATCAAAGTTTCTAAAGCATGGTATCAAGTTGCTGAACTAATGGACTTATCTAATGGTTGATAAATGGTCTTGCTTGTGTATGTAACTATTTGGTACACATTTTGTTAATAACTATATTCCTGTGAACTAAGACAAGGATCTTCCTACAACCAAAAGGATTAAAGGGTGGTTTGCCCTACTGACTTGTTAATGATCCACTTCATCTTTTTATTTTTTTTAAATGACATATTATCCTAAACACTACAATTTCTTGGAAAGAAAATGTTGTTTGTGAACTGATATTTGTGTTCTCAATTGAGCATTAATTTTTGAACATTATAACAAAAGTATATGTCATTTTCTCTACTTGCAGGTTGCCATCCCAATTGTCCCAACTATTCGAGTTCTTGTTACTTTCACAAAATTTGAGGAGCTTCAGCCAGCTGAGGAATTTTCAACCCCACTGTCCAGCCCGGCACATTTCCAGGATGCCAAGTCCAAAGAATCAGAGGGATCAACATCATGGATTTCCTGGATGAGAGGGAGTCGCGGTGGCCAATCAAGTGATAGTGATAGTCACCGATATAAGGACGAGGTTGACCCTTTCCTCATACCACCAAGCTATACCTGGGTTGATGCCAATGAAAAGAAACGTCGCATGAAAGCCAAGAAAGCCAAGAGCAAGAAACATAGAAAGCAGGCAGCAAACCGAAGCGGGGAAGGTGGAAATCAGTTAAGTGAGGATCCAGAAGAATGATTACGTTGGAAATTCCTTGTTAATTCTGCCACGTAAGGTCCTTTGCAAGAGAAAGAGGAGGTAAATCTCCTCCATTCCATCTTGCATTTACTGTCTCGCCCCTCAAAAGCCCTTCTGATAACCACTGTTACATTTGGAGTGTGCCCCCGGTGGATTTACAGGATATGAACAGGCAAATCACTTCTTGTTGATTAAGATGAGCCTTATTGTCTTCTTCTGTTGTTGTATTTGTTATGTGACACAAAAACTTGGGAGGAAGAAATTCTCCTCTATTCAATAGTTTGTTTGTGTTCTAATTTTTCTTAGGCATCAATCTTTGTATCAAAATGGTGATCATCAAATTTTCTTTTCTTCTTTTGGTTTTTGGAATTCCTTGTTTCTTCCTGTTGTACTGGAAGACAATCTCTACCGTCTCTGCGAACCCCCCCAACCCAATCTAGACAAGAAATTTTATTTAGTCTTGTGAGGAAACCAAAAATGCAGAACAGTTTCCGAACTTGTTGCCTTCCGAGCAGATGGCCACTGGGTTTGATATTGCCGGTAGCAACTGAGTATTCTTCTGGGTATGAGAGGGATGCTGAATCTGGTATGCAATCCTCTAAAATTACTTAATGATGAATAAGTTATGACAGAATTTTACACTTTTGTGTTTACTTTAAATTTGAGGTAGATATGAAAGATTTGAAATTTATTATTAATATTTCAAAAGCTTGTTACTTATTGAAATAAATAATACTCGGAATGCCTAAATTTAGCTTGGTTCGCTGAGCTTCACCTTAGTTTGAACTAAATTTGACAACAGAGTGAGGAGCTCAAGTTTGGAATGCATGTTTGAGCATATATATATATATATATATATTATTGACCTAAATTTTGTTGGTCTGGTAGAGCATTTGTTAATATTTATAGGTCAACTAACCCTAATTATACTTTTCAAAGAAAAAAGAACCCTAATTATATTTATAGTAGGTTTAACTGCTCCAAGAATATGAAATTGATTTTGATTTTGATTTGTTATTTGAAAAAATTCAGTAACATCCATCCCTATCGCATTCTCTCCTTTCTTTGTCTTCCTTCACTTTTTCTTCATTAATTTCACGAGAAAGTTTTAGTGGATTCTGGTCCTTTTCCATCATTTTCCATCCCTTTTACCTGTTATATATATATATATATATAAATGATGCAAAAAATTAATAAACAATATTAAATATAGAACACAACTCATTACCAACTGAATTAATAATATAACCACTAAAACTCTATATAAGTGAGTCCAAAATGTATACATATATCATGAATTTATTACTTGTATCTTTATTATCATTCCATTATCCATCATATACAGAGGTTGTATACATATATACCACCCACAGCTATTGCAAAAAGGATAGGCAGAGAGACTCATCCTGTCCTAAAACAATTGCTGTACCTACCCTACATGTACCTCAGTCTACCAGAATCTGTCCTTGTTGACACTCAAGTATCCGGCCATCACCTTCCCTCCGGTGTTCCTCATGCCGTCTATGAGAAAGCACCATGTGGAACCTAATGCTCCGATGAAGAAGTCTGCATCAGCTGCCATCAAGAAATTTACAAGGGGATAGTTTGTGCTCGTCTCTCGGCCCAGACTTGCTTCGTATGTTGCCATTGTTATGTTTCCTACTTGTCGTCTCACCTTCGTGTAATAAAAGTTCCAATGTGGGTATTGTTTTGTTTTGTCAATGACCTCCTGTAATTTCAGTTGATCAGATTGTTTGCGTTACGAGATAAATGGGAACCTATATAATGGTTCAGCGTTAAAACTAAGAAATTACTAGAAATTGAATGGAAAACAAACCAGACACGTGGTTATGTTCGATAAAACTAACGTTTTAGACCAAATGCAGCCTGATATAATCGCTAACCTGCATTTCGGTAGAGAGCCAGATGCTATTAAGCTGGGGAAAGCGCGTTCTAATTCTATCAGCAAGATGCATATATTCTTCAAATTCAACTACCTTCATTTCGCAAGCTTTGTCTCCCATCCTTACATGCATGCTTAGCAATGGCCTTGGAATCCATGGTTTGTGATTTGACCATACAAATTCTTCGATATCTGACCTTACCCTGTTTTCACCTTCCTGTCACGAGGAACTGAATTCTTATCAAACACAATTATATGGATGTAACTCATGCTATTTGCAAGATTGAAAGAGAAGAAAGGGAAGTTCTGTTTTGAATTGTAACTATCAAGTAAGTATATCAATGGAACTCCATGAAGATTAAAACAAAGTTTCCCAGTTACTGATTATCATATATGGACTCAAACCTATTATCTCTCTGTAAGAAAAGTAGGAAACTCTACTTGTGATTCACTATACTTAAATATAATGTTAGATTATTTGTATGAATCCGAAGTAAAGGGGACAAACCTTTGGCCACCGCCTGTCAAGACCTGTCACGACCATTTTGGCAGCTTCCTTTCCGAATGCAGCATGGCGAGCCTTGTTCAACAAGCCACATGTGTACTCGGTTGGAAATCTCATCAAGTAGCGTACAGCCTGTGAATTGCGAGCAAGTTTATGATCCGATCATTAAAATCACAAGAAAGTTCCCGTTATAATTTTCAGAAGAACACATGGTCGATGCTATTTCTAGTTCCTCAAAGATAAATTTCAAATTACCTGTGCTCTCCACCATCTCCTATCCATTTTCCGATGAGAGGCAAGCAAACTTCCATTTATTTCTGTTGTTGGCTGCAAATAACTCCAAGGTTCACCCCATTTCCTGAATTTAGAAATTAAGACAAAGATGATTCGAGCTTAAATGGTCTCAAAGAGCAAAGCAATTTAACTAGCATACGGCACAATTTCTTACCTTGGAGTATGTCCAGCCCATATTTCTTTTGAACTATAACTGTCTTTTCCTTTGATAATTCCCTTTTCCCATGCTTCTTTACTTCCCATAAGCTCAAAAGCACGGTCTTGGCATTCTTGAGATGTTTCTGGAAAGAAGTAGCAAGACCAACTAGAGCGAGAGGAACCTGCAGAGGCATACATAATTAATATATATCAGTATCGACAATAAAGTTTCTGAAAGATACATCATAACTCCAATGTTAAGTCTTTTAACATACTAGACTTTAAGTTGCATGTTCGACTCAGATTGAACTTTCATATTTTAACTTTTGAAATAATTGCTCATAGTCAATTACTTCGTGGACCCAGTAAAAAAATTGAATCTGCGACAATTAAGTACTAATAAATCATCCGAAGGAAGTGTAATTGCTTATATTTACATGACGTTTATACCTTTACAACCATCATGGTCAGCACGATTGTAGTACTTCGTAACAAGGACTCTTTTTTCGTTTATTGCAATAGCAAGAAGGCCACACATTCCTGCAATCTGGGCTCCGATACCAAAGCCAGGTAATCTTTCCCAGTCAGCCACAAGAAATTTTACATTAGGATCTCTGCAGTTCACTGGATGCTGATGGATCCATATATCGCGCTGCACTTTCCTAGTTAGTGGATAATTTTCTTCGTCTGATCCACTAACCTGCGAAAGATCATACCTTTCTTAATCATATAAATAGGAAGTAGAGAAATGCACAAGAACATGTAGATACATCACTTATCCATGATCCATCTATAAATTCATTGCCAAATCTAAAATGCATCAGTTTTCTTGGGTAATAATGTACGATAAATGAATTATTAATGACTTCTACAACTCCAAAACATACCCAAGGAGGATAGGCACCCTCGGACATAGCTTGCTGTCTGTAATATCGAAGTTGTTCATTATTCATGGTTGTTGGATGCAAGTCAAGAAATCCCTTCCAATTTGTCCAAGGAGCGAAGCTCGAATTCTCCACACGGGTATCAAGGCGTTTATTTATCTGTACATTTAGTTTGCAATTTTCCAAATGAGGAGCTTGTGGTACATTAGATATTTCCAGTCCAAATTTCTCCAACAACTCTTTTTCTCCATTTCCTGATTCAGCCAATAAGGCTTCCCAAGTGGAAGAAAGCAATGAAACTCTATCCTCCTCGGGTTTACTTTGATTCGATTCCATCAATCTCTCTGTTCCTTTTAGGTTATATTTGCAGTTTGTACTAGCAACCATATCTATAATTCAATACATGGAAACCCAATAAGCTTTTGAATCAAAATAAGTATTAACTAGTGTCCTTTTCCTTGATGGCTTAGATTAACAGAAGGCAGAAACAATTGCTCTAAATTTCATAAATTACTAAATCCTAATCATTAAGCATGTACAAATGGCTTTAGTTGACAAGATTAAGGACAAACAATGCGAAGTATGATTTACAAAAGAAGCAAAAAAAGATCCTGTCAAAGTCATCAGTGAAGTAATCCACAAATGTGCTTCATAAGCCATATTCCTACTTTCAGTTGCTTCAAATACACACAATACTTTAGTCATTTCCAACATTTTGACCAAACTCACTAAACCTTAATCAATAAATTCTTATCTTTTTTTCTTTAATAGAAAGAGAACCTTTAATGACAAGTTAACTTCTGATTACGGGTATGAATCAATAGAATTTGGGAAGCATCCATTCAGAATTTTCCAGCAGATAAACTTTTGTGATTTTTTAAATGATCTTCATCCTCCTATCGATTACAATAAGTTTCAATTTCAAAAAGAATTCCACAAACCAAGTTTATTTGTTTCAAACATAGCCAACAATATGGTAGACGATAACCTTTGGATTGTAAGCTTGTTTCTAACCGAACACAATCAAAGATTTCAGTCTAGAGTCTTCAATTTTTTGTACAAGGTAGCTGTAATTCCTGACATCAACGTGAATTCTCTAATCTTCATCTAGGATTTCCTTCTATATGTTATAGGAATAGAGAACAAGAACCATAAGTAACAGTAATCAAAATCTAACCAGAATATAATTCAAACTGAAACCATAATTAGAAATTGCAAATTATAGATTCAACATTGGTACTGAAACTAAGAAAAGAAAGGAAAAGGCATGGCAAGAGAGCAATAGGGGAACAAGAGACAGGTAAGACACAGGTTTCGTTAACTCACTGATAATGCGTGAACTCGAATTCTGCGGCGAAATCCCGGTTGAAATGGAACCAAAAGAAATCCCACCAAACTCAAAACTACCAAGTGAAGTAAGAGCAGCAAGAAAAAGCGATGTGAGACAAATTCCACAGAGGAAACCCACCACACAAATTTGGCAAGGAAATGAACTGCCCATCTGCAGAGCTTTCTGGGAAACGACTCTCTCAAGAGATTTCTGATTCGCTGATTCCATTTTCCTTCCAAATTTTCCAGGAAAACAATACAAAAGAACCCAGAAAACAGCTTTTGATTCCTTCCTTTTTCCTTTATCAATCTGTAAATTTATTGCATGCCAAGTTGCCAACCAACTAACAGGTAGAGTCACAGGAAAATATGCCAACTTTTTTCTGTTTTTGTATATGTGATTTTATGTTTCTTACAAGTATTTCAAGATGAAATAAACATCACCCAGAAATGGTCACTCTCAAAATTTCGGCCATTCATTTCACCTTTTAAGAGCTTTCTTAATCTTTGTGGTCCAATTTCCATCTTCCAATCAGCTGCAAAATAAAGGGAAATTCTCATCACAGTTCAAGCCACGCTGTAAAAGAAAAGGAAAAGAAGATTAAGCCATAAGCAATGAAAAATTCCAAAAAGAATTGTAGAAAAAGTTGGATTTTTTTTTAAAAAAAGAAAGCTTCAGAATGTCCAGAATTTCTAAGATAGAACACATAAAAATAAGAACTTGCCTCAGCCCACTTGAAACAAGGACGCAACTATTCAAAAACAGTGCAGGTAAAGCCTTAGAAACATATTTTTTTGACAATGAAAGCACAATTTCTGCAGGAAAAGATTAGTCTGAAATGAGAAAAATGAGCTTTCAACTCGAAGGCCAAAGCCAGTATTAGAGGTCACAGGTGCCACAGCATGCAAAAGGAAACATGCCACCAAGAACAGAAACTAGTAAGAACCCACCAAGAAAAAAGGGCAACTTTCTAAAATAGATAAAACAATCCATTTTTAAAATCATGGTGAAAAACCCAGAATAGGATTGTTCTTTTTTTTTTTATTCCTGGAAAAGAACCCAGAAAGTGGAAAGAAAAGGAGATGAGAAAAAGTAAGAGTGCAATAGAGCATTGGGAAACCAACCATGGGGCTCACTTTCTCAGGAAACAAACAGAAAAGGAAACAAAATACAACCTCTGACTTGCTACAGATAATCACTCATTTTGCTTTCTACAAATTTGTTCAACTTGATATTTTGAAAGCTGTGGAATTTGTCTACATGAGTGAAGCAGTGAAGAATTGGGGTTTGGTAGAGAAGCAGAAAATATTCTCTCCCCTTTCTCTTCTCCTCTTTTGTGGACCCTTCACTCCTTTCATCATCATCATCATCATCATCATCACAGCTGTCAGTTCCCGAAAAGGGCTAAGTTACAAACATATTAAAAATGATAATTTAGTATTAAGAATATTATTTATATATATATATATAACAATTATAGTTTATGTTTCGTAATCATACATTATTTATTTTAATCTTACAAAAACGTGGTAGTTAGTTTATTAGTTCTTCAATTCTCACTTCACACTCCACGTCTATTTTCATAATCTTAATCAAAGATCATATCTTTTTGGAAGAATCAACCAAATACTATAGATGTTAAAAATAAGAAGAAGAAAATCTAAAACTTAGTCCATGACACACACATATATATATATATATCTTTTAGTTCTTGTATTTAACATTTTAGATCAATAAGAGAAAATATACTTTAAAAATATATGTAACTATTAAAATAGATATATGAATTGTGCAATTTTGTTCATAATTTTGTTTTTCTTTTACCCTGAGACTGCAGAGATTTTTCTGTAAATTTAAAGGAAAATTAAACATATTAAAATTTACACATGTAGCAAATGAAAAGAGTAATTATTTAGTAATAATTAATTATTATTATTTTAAGAAAATAATTATTTATAATAATTATTATTGTACTTATGACTAATAATTAATAATTATTGTGCAAAACAATAAAGGTTTTTTTTTTTTTTTTTTTTTGTCTTTTGTTTTTTCTTTGAGACTAAAGATGAAGAATGGCATTCAACTAGACAAGGACATACAATTTCTGCCTCAAAAGACAAACTTTAGCATCAAGAGGTTCTTGAGCAATAAATTATATATCTAGTTTATATAGTGCTATGTTTGTCGAAGTATGAGCAATTAGAGCTTGTCACTAAAATATCCTCGGAGGGAATAGGGTTAAGTGGAGCGAAAAAGGATTTTTCATGATACGAGAAATAAAAATTATTAGTCTCACACGAAGTTTTTGAACGAGTGATTGTCTGATAATGAGTAAAAAAATATATGTTCTTATAATAAACAAAATATATCGAACTAATAATTCATTAGATATTTTTTTATAAATGTAAACTAAGTATCATAAATAAATTATTTCTGATTGTTCAGTTATTTAATAACCGAAATTATTTTTTGATAAATGACTACTATGAGTCAGATTTAATAGAATTTGATCAATTCTTTTTCTTTTTTACTGTTAAAGTGAAGAACTGAATCAAAAACTTTTTTTCTTTATCATTAATCGAATCATTCTTTATCATAATTGTAGTTTATCATTGATTCAACCACCGCTCGCGTCTTTTCTTTTTCTTATTAATGAATAGTTCTAATTATAATTTTTAAAAATTTAAAATATAAAAATAATATTATATAATCGAGATAATAAATGAAAATCATCGACCGAGAAACTAATTTTTTATTGAGAGAAAATTTTTCATGAAGGGAATTCCAAGAATATTTGCTTAGTAATAAATATATTTCAAACAATTTACAAAATAAAAATGGCTTAAATAGAAATATAGCTCATATACTAGGTTTTGTTTCTACTTTGTTTGATTGATTAAGACTCAAAGTGGAGTTCCTTGGAGGGATAAATGCAATCTGTATGTGATGTGCACGACAAGAGGTCCATGTGTTTTGATCACGACCGTTGATTTTTTAGTTTATATATATATATATGTATGTATATATAAGCCACTTCAATTAATAGCTTCTACGATTGAAGCGGTAGGCCCATGATTGATCAGAGCTGAGCCCAATCGAAATTCAAATGCAACTCTCTAACGGTCAAATTCTTGTCCTTGAAATTTTCTTTTCCTCATTTCACTTTCTCGTCTCAATGAAAAGACCATTTTCAAATTTCTATAGATTAAAAAGCTAACAACTTTTCAAGCAAAGTCTACCTTTTGGATTATGATGGGTTGCCTTTCTGCTTGTTTCTCTTCTTCCAAACAGAAAAAACGCCGTCATTTGGTCAATAAATCTGCGTCTGTACACCAGGTTTGTTATTTCTTCAACCTTACTAATTATGGGTTTCTCTTCTGCCAAAAAAGAATTATGGGTTTTTCAAATTTTTGATCTTGAGGAATTAAACAATCTGAAATCACGATTTTTTTGCAGAGGAGTAGAGCTGGTGAAGAAGCTCTTCAGGCTGCTAAATCCACAAAAGAACAGATCCAACAACCCATTAATCCCATCGCAGAATCCGAGTATGCTACTGTCTTGAAATCTATGGTTTCTGGTATTTTTTTTGGTTACTTGTTCTGTGTATTTGACGTTTTCTAGGGTTCAAGGTTTTTCTGCTAGTTCCTATGAATTTTGGGTTTTCTCTTTTACATTTAAATTGAACAAATCCAAATTTGAGTTGAACAAATCCAAACGTTGTTTGCAGCTTTCTCAAGTCATTTGTCTGATGCAGTTGTTAAACAACTGACATTTTAGTTCCAATTATGAACATCTTTTCAAAATTAGTGCCAGATAATGAAGATCTTTTTGAAAAGGACCAACCGATAGTGATTGAATAAATTCTTCAAATATTTTAATAATTATTTTTAGTTTTTCATTTGTAACAGTTCAGATATTGAGCATTCAAAATAGGAATTTAATTTTCTTTTTTTTTTTTGTATAAATAACTGGTTTTAAATGAAGGAATATACACCTAAATTTCCTCCCAAATCTTTCTTTTTTATTTCTGTTAGCTGCTCTGTTTTTGAACCCAACAGCTCAATTGTATGTTTACTTTTGCCAACTTGTATAGAGAAAAGCTTGAGGATCCAATTAGTTGCGGTACTGAAAAGAAAGTTAGATTTAACTTGAGTCTCAAAGCCAGTGAGGAATTTCCTACAGTTGGGAAAAATGAGGAGGAGAAGAAGAGTGAAAAGAAAGAAGAAACGCCAGAAGAAAGCAAATCACTTTCTACTTCCAATTTGTTAACTCTATTTTCTCATCCTCCAAACAATAGGTACCAAAACTGTGCAAGCACTGATGATGATGAATATGAAGATCTGGACTTGGAAGAAGAAAGTAGTTTAGATGATGGTTGTAATGATGATAAAGATGGTGATGACTGTAAGAAGTTTGTTCCAGAAGAATCATCGGAATCATTATTTTCATTGTCAATAGAGTCGAGGAAGCAAGTTTCTGATGTTGAATTGGGTGAAAAGGAGGTTACTAGTAGTCCAGTGCCAAAATGTAGTTCTCCTGTTGCGGAACTTAAGGTGATTGAGTTAAATCGAAATGCCCCGAATAGGAATCACTTTGTTGATTCAGTGTTCAACCCAGTTGAAAATGTTGAATTGGGTGAAAAGGAGGTTTCTAGTCCGGTGGCAGAATGTATTTCTCCTGTTGCGGAACTTCAGGTGATTGAGTTGAATCGAAATGCTCGGGATGGGAATCAGTTTGTTGATTCAGTGTTGAACCCAGTTGAGAATGTGACTCAATGGAAAGCAATCAAGCCAAAAGCACTAACACATTTGCAGTCTCAGGAAAAGGAGAATATGTACCCGGAGAATGCTTGGTATGGTGATGCCACTATTGAACAGCCTAATTTTAAGCACTCGACTCGGAAAACAAACCTGGGTTCTAAAGACAAGAAACTTTTAGACCAGGAAATCACAGTTGATACTAGTCTTTCGACCTGGTTGGTTGAAACTGAGGTTACACCTTTTTCTGAGGCTAGTACAAATTCTGTTGGGAATTCACCTTCCATTGATGCAAAATCACCAAGAAATCACGAAGACAGACCCATTTTAGGAGCATTAACCATGGAAGAAGTTAAACAACATTCTATATCTACATCTCCAAAGAGATCAAAAAATTGGAGTCCTGATGAAACACCCATCATAGGCACTGTTGGCAGCTATTGGAGACATACAGGGCAGACCCCAAATTCAGATTCAACCTCTTCTAGTAAAGGAATGTCAAAACCTAGCAGCAGAAATAGAAAGGTATCATTCTAAGTAGAAATGCGTAGATGAATATGGAATTATTGATGCATAAGCCAAAGCAGAAACTGATACAAATTCTTTTGCTTGTACAGGATGGAAGAGCCAATTGGGATGCTACCAGTTTCAAGACAAGGTTGGATCAAGAAGTTTAGCTTGTCTTTTCAGAGTGTTTGATTTGCAGTTCCAAGATTCTAATAGGTTTTGTGCATAAGCATGCAAGTTCCAGTCCTTCCTAGAAATGTTATATAGCTTCTAGAGATGGCTTGTAAAAGCTCGGTGATACTAATGATAAAAGCTTATATGATAAATTTTGCTCGCTAGAAACAAGCTCTGAGCAGAAAAGCTTTTTCCATGACTTGTTATCCCCATGGCTGGATGGTTTGCGGCTACAAAATTCTTTCACTCATCTGTTAGATCTTGATTTTTTAAAATGTCTGCATTGTCTTATGAGTTTTCCACTCAGAAGCAAAATTATTGAGAGACCTATTCACAGTAAATACTTACAGATCTCATTTAACATATAACACCATTTAAACCACTTTAAATAAAAGTTACAAACTTATTATCTTAAACTAAATTAAAAATATTTTAAGTATGACACAAGATTGACCCATTTTAAAAATGTCATATATTTACTATCTTGAGTTAATTAGAGATATTTTAAACATAACACAAAGTCCATACATTTCAAAATTAGATTTCTTTAGATGTTTTAAACATAACATGAAATTACAACCACGTTTTGCAAGGTATTCCAAATGATGACAAAAATCTCTTTAGGTGTTTGAACAAAAGGATTTGCAGTGGAAAGAGGATTGTTCGATGAGGTAGAATGACGGATTATCCGAACCAAAGGGTGACTTGGTATGAGCTATGAACAGAAAGAAAGATGAAGACAGCAAATAATCCTCTATTATATTTCTTTATAATTGCTAATCCATTGTTCGTGCTTACAAATCTTGTTGGCATCACCAACAACCGTTATACCAGTCAACAGCTAACCTACCTAACGAGCAAAAGTTGTAGCTAGGTGATGGATATTTCCTAAGCGACTTTTCTTCTAGAAATACAAGAATCAATGCAACACATGAAAATGTGTGGTAGGATGGTATCCCCCAAAAGATTATGAGAAAAAATGGAATAGAACACAAGCTTATCAGCTTCATTATTCTGCTTGGTTCTCAGTCTCTCTGCTTGTATGTCTGGCTTTGATTGTTGGATGTTTCAAATAATAAGAGTATCTACATATCATGAAAGAGCCTCCTTATCTGCTCGACATTTGCTGGCATTAATGTAATTGGGCAGCGCTTATACTGTTAGAACATGGAGAGATGCATTAGAAATATATGCAGATAGCCCGGATAAAGCATTTAGGAGAAAAATAGATTGAGGTAGAGATGCAGACTGAAGGTAATCTGTAAAGAATATATTCTTTAAAATTATGGATATTGGGATGATCGAGGCTGTCCATGTCATTTACAGGACTTAAATTACAAACCCAGGATTGTGTATTTTAAGCAGATAGGTTAGTTTATTAAAAAGGAAATAAGCCATGAAAAGGAACTGTCATATGAAACAAGTCGAAGAATTACCTGAGAAACATATTTAAATATGCAAGCATAACAGAAGACAAAGCCTGAGACCGTAACCACTGATGGATTTGCACGTTTCTGTGAGCACAATGGGCAGATCGTTCTATCAGGTGGTAGTGGAATCCCCTCCTTGGAGATCTGTTTAAATGGTAAAAATAAACAAGACTATGAGAAATAGAAAACTTTTTCAAAGTAGTTACTTCTGGACAATTGACTAATAAAAATCTTCTGGTTACTTTCATCAAAGGACTTGGTAGGCACATCTATGTGTCTAGGACAATCTAAGTCGCCAAAGATAAAGCAGGCAATACGGAGGTTTACCTTTGGCGGAGGAGGAGGTGGTGGTGCAGGGTAGACAGTTGGGGCAGACATCCTCTCCTCAGCAGATTGGTACCACCACTCCATCATCTACGAAAAAATTTGCATGAATTATCAAACGCCAAACTTAAAGAATATTTTAAGATTATTAAGGATAACAAAAGGTGCATGACAGTGCAAAAAAGAGGGTAATTATTTGAGATTATGTTCATTGTCGTAGCAGTATCTAAAAGTATTTTCTTCTCCAGAAATCGGA